GGAAAAATTATTGCTTGCTTGCATGCAGTTAAAAATAAAAATGGTATTTAAGTGGTCCGGAACCGACACCACATGCAAATTTACGTGCGGTAATCACATGCAACAAGCGTTCGTTAATTAAAAGTTACCTTGATACGTTTGAGAAGTTCGAAACCAGTCATCTCAGGCATCCAGTAGTCGGTGATTATCATACTAACGTCTGGATCCTGCAAAAAATTAGTAGAGAATTAACAATTAGAATGTTAAAATAGAAAAAAAAAGAAGAAGAAGAAGGGAAGAAATGATGAACCCACCAAGCCCAGCAACTCCAACGCCTGCACTCCGCTCTCAACAGTTGTCACTGTCCGTGAAGCAATTAATATTAGAAGCAAACAAATGTAGAAGTATCTAAAGAGATAGATACTCGAATGGTCGAAAATATAAAAGAAAAAAAAATGATAGATCCAAAATATTTACGTAAGAACAGAATAGAATTAATACATATATACATATAATTAGGTATGATCATGTGCATAAAGTTATGATTTTGTTCATGTAATGCGATTGGATGCTTTAAAAATATAAACTTTTTCTAATTCGTTTTAAGCCTTTCAGTAATGTGTGCTAAGATTTCATTAGTACATGATTAAACAATGACCGGAGAAGTGAGCAGAACGTAACTCAAATTCATTCATAATGTCTTAAGAAAAAAATTTGCTTGCGTAAGAAGTTTGCAGAGTTGCGTACATCGAAAGTTATTCAGAGGGAGGGTATGGAGGGTTAGATCCGGGTTTTACTCCCGTGTATCATTTCTGTAACCCGGATATAACCCCTAATACTCTCTAAATAACTTTCGATGTACCCTCTAAATAACTTTCGATGTACGCATCTCAACAAACGTCTTATGTATGCAAATTTTTCTCCTTAACTTTCGATGTACCCTCTAAATAACTTTCGATGTATGCATCTCTACAAACGTATGCAAATTTTTCTCCTTACACCCATATCCCAAAAGAAATAACGAAACTGCAATAAAAAAAAAATAAAAAAAGAAATAGTAAAATGTTAAGAGGACCTTTGTACTTCAAGTTACGCAAGAGCCGAGCTATGACGGCTCGATCAACGGAGTTGTCGTCAACAGCAAGCACGTGAAACTCCCTTCCACGGTTGCCGGCGCCACCGCCACCGCCGGTCGCCATTCTGCCTTGAATTGAAAGAAAGGAAAAGGAAAAGAGAAATGGAGCAAGCGGCTGATTTATCGGAATGCGAACTATTCGTCTCCAGTTCTGATTTTATAGAGAGAGATACCGTGGGGATTTGATAAACAGTTTAACACCGCCGTACACCGCAAGCACTTTTTTCTGCTCTTGACAGGTGGCGTTATTGTGGATGTGAGTGCAGTAATTACGGTGGCAGAAGGAAGTAGAGCCGGAAACGACCGTATCTCTAAAATGTGGGCCCCGCAGAAAGATTGACCTTGGATTTCCCCCCGTATGAAATAGGTTCATCACCTTTGGCTCTCGTTTCCGACAGCTCACAGCACGTCATCTCACATATCAAATAAAGAGGAATATGCAATATTTCGGCAACCATGTTTCCTTTATTTATAACATTTTAATAAATACGATAATAATTTTAAAACCTTAACTTATAAATAAGCTAATTTAAATAATATATATCCAACATTTATGGAGGAGGTAATAGAATGTATATTTTCTATATAAAAAAACTTACATTCATAGCATTTAAAACTACTAATTGCTAACTTAAATATTATTTGGCTCAATTTTCTCAATAAAATAATAATTAACTTTTATATTTATGTCCATGAGCCTATGTGCTCATTTTTTTACAATCTCATTTAGAGACCAAACAATTATTTGCTTAATAACAAAGTGATTGCTTTTTTCATTATTTATTTTATAATTTTATGTTTTATGTACTTTAATTATTTTGTTTGAAATTAAAGATATATGTTAAAAATATCAGGTAAATTGATATATAAATTAAATTTTGCTTTTATTGTATTGCAAAATCGTCCAAGATCGAGTCGATGTGAAGTGGGGAGCCAACTTCTGCCAACTTAATAATTTTTTTTAACATGCCAACTCTGCAAATCGACTTGCGCGGAAACCTCTGTTAATGTATTTGTTTGGGAAAATTTTAAGACATTTCGATCAAGCTATTTGGCAGATCAAGATGTCTTATTAACTTAACAAGTTAATTCAACTTCTTCAAACCAGTCAAGCGGAACATAGATTGTCAAGACAAAGAAATAATCAGGCTACAAGCCCTTTAATTTTGTTTTAAGCTATATATCTTATTTTCTATGTATCAATATATGTACCATACCATAAGCAAATTCAAAGGTATAAATTGAGGAGGTTGCCTTAGTGTATGGAGAATGCAACTCTATAATCACTTCATAATGAAAATCTCATAACCTTCTCCTCTCTCTCTCTCTACTCTTTTTACTTGTATTCTATTTTTTTCTTGGTTGGCTTACTGCAGGAGTCCATGTACAACTGAAGATAAAATATCCTCCATACTGCCATGAGCATGGTGCATGTCATAACATAAAGTGGACCTTTCCATAAGACAAGACCTTGCAATAGAGCAAATTCAGTGAGCATAAAGTGCATCAAAGAATTCATGTTGCATTAAATAAAAGACTTGATGAACTAGATGATGATGATGATATGCAAAGCCATAGAGTGAGTATCCATAGTGACATCTTGTTTCAAGAATCGATCTAAATTTTTCAGAAAACTAATTGTGTATAGACGAAGGATAGCTACTAGTGTGCAAAGAGCACTACCCTTTACTCCATAAAATGAACATGGGACTTATATCTTGGACAGTGAAAATTTATCTCCATCAAATTTTAGAAAAGAAATAAGATAAGTTTTTGTGAAGAGGGAATATCAACTGAGAAATGCATTCTACTTAGATTTATAGAGCTAAGGTGCAAAATTAGTTTAATATTTCTACTCTAGAGTGCTACATGAGAAGTTTAAACAATGCCATCATTGTGGCCTCATTCGGATAGATAGTTTATTTGTTGAGGATTAGTTACATACTAAAAGTTTCATTCCTTTTCTATGACTCTTAATGATTCAAACCTCATTAGATTAACAACATATCACTTAGGGTAGTAAAATATTTTCCCAAGTTTTAATGCACATTTATTTTATATTTTTCCAATGCTTGGAAACCACAAAAGAGTGCATAGGATTTAATATGAATGCACCAAAAATCTACGTCTTGTTAAGGAGTTTTATTTCTGATTCTTAGATGGAGATGTTAGAAGTGAAGAATCTAAAGCTTGCATTATAATTCATTGTTGCACCTACTAAGAGCCCATGCAAAGTTTTGTTTCACTATGCTCTTTGGATACAACACTTGAATAACCATGTAAAATTATTTGAGCTTAATGATATTATAGTTTAACTAAGAAGTATAATTCATTTCTAAGTACTTTCTGTGTGATTAAAAATGAGCTGCATCAATTTAAGAAGAATATCTATTGATCTAGTTATGAGAATAGTGACGACCCTATCTAGTTTGAGGCTATAAAAAGTGTTAAGAAGTGTTGATTCTACCCTTACAATGTGATACCACTCCAAGCTCAAGAAAGTGCATGTTTCATATCAATAATAACATATTTTATAGTGCTAAATGTCGATCCCACAGAGAATGAGGTGATTCTAAAATAAGAAAAATTTTATCCTAATACTTTTAAGTCATAGCATGAAAAGTTAAAACTATTCTTAGTCCTAAGAAGTAACCTTAAAGTATCTTAAGAAATTTTAAAATATAAATCCTACAAAAATCTTAGTTAACGTGGTTTGAATTGATGAATATCATGTTCTAGAAATACCCTCACTTGTAATTATTTAAGTGTAGTATAGGAATTGAAAAGTGCAAATTATAAAAGAGGTTAGAGACAAATAGAAGCAACACTCTTATTTACCCAATATTAAGTTTGGGCTACTATCATTGTATTAATGTAGAGTTAGTGGAGATAATGGGAGAGTGGGTTGATTACATGAAAGTAAGAGTGGCTAGGAGTTATGAGGGAGTTAGATTTTGATATTTAATGGCTAGGATTTGCTTAAATGGAATGAATTCACTTACTGTTAATTAAGCCAATAAAACATGACCACTTAGATTAGTGTGGTGGTCAAATAAGGACAACTATATAGGATAATGACATTTTGATAATTAAGGCCAAAGAAAGGGGCTTTCCATAAAATTAGTTAGAATAATTAGAAAAATTAAAAACTATATATATATATATATATATATATATATAAAGAGATTATATATATATTGATTACTCTTGCTTTCACTAACAAACCTACTACTTGTAATTTCAGATTTCTTAATGTTTGGTTGTCTCGTGATTATTTTCTAAGTTTGATTAAGCAAAACTGGTGCTCTCAAGGTGATGTGAGTCCTTGGTACACACTTTGAAAACTACATAAACAGGTGGCTCGAGCTCTTAAAATGTAGAACAAACAAGTTTTTGGTAATTTTCATAATAGGGTCACTCAGGCTGAGAAATTGCTGGACCACCTGGAGGCTCAGGTGGAAAGGTGCCCAGAGATGATGGAGGAGGTGGCTTCTACTCACGCATCTCTTCTTGACTCCATTACTTTGGAAGATAATTTCCTGCAGCAAAAGGCTAACGATGTAACATTTACTTGTGGAGATCGAAATGCAAAATATTTTCATGCTACCATAAACTATCGAAGGATTCTCAATACTATCCTTAAGATTATCTCTAAGCAGGGGAATGTTATTACTGGAGAGCAGGAGCTTGACAACAGTGCTATGCAATTTTTTTCTGACTTATTTGGCACTTATACACACGTGCTTCCTGTTGATGGTACACTTTTTGAAAATAATAGAGATTATGTGGCTGGTTTGGAACTCTCTGATAGCCCTACAGAACAAGATATTTTTATTGCTTTTAAGAAAATCAACCAGAATAAAGCTCCAGGGCCAGACGGGTTTACTTCTAAATTTTATGTGACTTGTTGGGAGATTATTAAAAAAGATATTATCCTTGCAATCCGAAGTTGCTTTCTTAGAGATAATCCAGGTAATTTTTTCTCTTATGCTCTCATTGTGCTCATCCCTAAATTTAATGATAAGAATAGATGGGAGAACTTCAAGCCAATTTCTCTAACTTCTATTATATCTAAAGTTATTAGTAAGTTGATAGTTGCTAGACTTCAATTACACCTGTCTGCTATTATTGCCTCTGAGCAATCTGCTTTCATTAAGGGAAGGAAGATTACTGAAAATATCCTTTTGGCTCAAGAGATGATTGTAGATTTGGATAGGAAATGCAGTGAGGAATATGGTGATTAAGTTAGACATTCAGAAAACTTATGATTCTACATGCTAGGATTTCATTCTGAATGTCTTAACAGCTAGAGGCTTTAATAGAGCTTTTATTTCCCTCATCAGAAGGTGGCTGGTTAGTAATTACTATTGTGTGCTTATCAATGGTAACTCATATGGCTTTTTCTCTGCTAATAGAGGGATCATACAGGGTGATCCGTTCTCTCCCACCATATTCATAATAACTTTTGATTATTTCTCTAGATTAATTACTAAAATGTAGGTACATCATCCTCATATGAATTTATCTCACAAATCTACAATGCTTGTTAGTCATTTGTCTTATGTTCACGATTCTATTCTTTTCTGTAATGCTTCTAAAGCAGCTTGGAAAATTTTAATGGCTTACATTAAAACTTTCCAATAAACTTTTGGGCTTACTTTAGCCAGGCCAAATGTATGATGTACTTTGGTAAAAATGTTAAAAATGATACAAAGTTGTGGGTTACTGATTTCACAAGCTTTAAATATGCCTCCTTGCCTCTTAAATATCTGGGTGTGAATCTTATTAAAGGAAGGAGAAGACAAACTCAGATGGATGATGTTGTTGCTAAAATTAAATCAAGAATGGATTATTGGAAGAACAACTTTCTTTCTAATGGGGGTAAATTAACTCTTTTGAAGAGTGTTCTTCATAGCATCCGATTATATGGTTTATAAGTATTGAATCTTATGAAGAGCACTTTAAAAATTTTACATATCATGTTTAACAAATTTCTTTGGTCTGGGAATGGGACTAGGAAGAGGTGGATCACTTGGGAGAACTATGTAAGCCACATTTTTCTGGGGGTCTTTAGA